ACCCAGCCAAGCTCTAGTCTCTGTAACGGTAGAACCACGATCTGTACCATCTCCCACAGATCTTCTGCTTCTACGACTGGCATGATCTTCAGGGCCCAGACACCCAGGTGCACTGCAGTTACACTCATGAATCTGCCCATCTATTTGTCAGTCAATCTACCCCCTCATCCATCCACCATGGCTTCCCAGAACATCAAGTAAGCATGGTTCTTATCAGCAAGAGGCATATATTCTAACTGAAGTTTGGACATTATTCTGTGAGAAATGGAAAGTATAGTGAGCAGAAGAGTGATGCATCAGACTCAATTTTAATAAAGATCATGTCAGACATTGTACAGAAGAAGTAAGAGTAACAAAAGAAAGTTAGATGTTTGTAGGTGTCCAAACAAAAGACAAGTTTTTTTTTGTTTTTTGTTTTTTATCCGTAGCAATGCCATATGAGTGGATTCTAGAGGACCTAGGGTAAGAACTAAGAAGAACAGGTAAGTGAATGAAGATAAGGGTAGCAAGTTAAGTCAAGGCTAACACTCACATTTGGGTAGGTACATGGATGGTGGACCTTTAACTAAGACAAGAAATTGGAGGAGAATATTTGTAGATATGTGAAATTCGAGGTCACTACAGGATACCTGGGAAGGGATACGTGAGGAGAAGATGGAAATTCTGATATTCACAGTTTGGGAGAAAAACCTTATGTGGAAATGGCTCTACACGGGTATAAGTTACAGCTAATGTCAGAGAAATGAATCAGATGACCAGAGCATGACATGGGGGGACGTGGTGGTATGTGAAGGGGAGTGTCAAGGGCAATGGTTAATAGTGCAAAATGACAGAAAGGTCAAGGAAGCGAAGTCCTCAAACGTGATGGCCAGTGGATTTGGCCCCTATAAGACAGAGAGGAAGGTTCTTCAGCTTTCATTTACCTTCCGGCTCCTGTGTCATTTGTACAACTAAAGCCTCTTCTCCCACTGACCACTCTCTTTCCAAGTATTTTCATGTTGTGTGAAAATGCTTCACGTTTTGGAATTGCCTCCCACCCCAGTTATCCAACATTTATAACAACTTAACCATTCCTCCTGCCACAGTTTCCTGGACCACAAGTGGACTCCTAACTCACACTGAGCCAATCAGAATGTCTTCTTGTCTCTTGAGAATAGAGACTGCGTTAAGCCATGAAGCTATCAGGTTCTATAAAGTTGGGGGTCAATAGTCTCAAATTGCCTATAATTTAATTTATGGAGAACCTGGATTATGTAAGCACTTGAGTTTTCCTTAAGTCAATACTATTCACTTGCTTTAAATTTGGTTGTTGGGATGATTTCCCCCATAATCAAATTCTCCTAAAATATCATACTCTCTTTCATACAAAACCAGATTCGAATAAACTACGTGTTCAGCCCCTGAGACATCAGTCCTTCCTCCTGGCCTCCTCACCCCCACATTTCCCCAGACATCACGCCAACCGCGAAACGCTACATCGCCACACTGCTACAAGCCCTTCTCACCGCGTCCAGTGCCTGGGCACCAACACAAAGGACTGGGCAAAACTCAAGCCAGTGATGGGAAATGGCCCATAAAGTCTGGCCTGCCCATGACCTCCAAAGAGTCCCTACCTTACGACACTCACATCAGACCAAGCTCAACTCACACCCCACCCAGGGCTATGCCCACGGCATAAAGGAAAGGGCAGGTCTGAGCGTAACCCCACCTTCTGGAGGAGAAGAGGCTGCTGACAGGGCTTTAACAGTGATTCCTCTTCACTCCGAAGATGAGGCCCCTTATTTATAGGTTCCCCAGAAAATCCTAATCTGAAGGCCAAAAAGGGAGCATCCTGGGCAGGTTTCTCCTACTTTGCACCATGAATTAACTTACCATGTGCATTCAATGCCATTGGTCTCTTAAAAGTTTGGAGCAGAAAAAGAAAGAGGAGAGAGAGAATGAGAATAAAGACAAAGTATGCACACAGGAGAACGAAGAACAACGCGGGGACACAGGGCAGAGCAAGAATCAAGAGAGCCAGGGAATTATGTTTAAAACTCCAAGATGCAAATTTAGCCAGAGGTTTAAATAACCTCTTTCCTGCTTTATAATGAATTATATAACAAAGCTGAGAGAATGATGTGAATGGTATGTGTATAAGTAAGCATGATCTATAATCTGCAAGGCACCAACGGTCTGATTCTTAGTTACTTTATTTCATATTTTTATGACTCATTTTCCTCATCTTAACTTACGAGCCCTGAAACTGAAGGCGTTTACCCTCCAGCTCCAAGAGCCCCTGCAGAGGGGAGCATGACCCCAGGGACGCCTGGACTTCTCAGGCTTCAAGACATTTGAACCTCAACACAGTAGGTAGTGACTAACTAATCTACATTCAAAAGTACCATTGCTTAATATATAAACATATTTATTAGAAAACCTCTCCCTTGACTCTTCTAGGGCTATTTACTGGGTAGCTTTGTGCACTTAACACCTTGCACAGTGTCATCACAGCTAATTCACAGCCTAGCAGCACAGCCCGGGGGCAGAATAAACTCAGCACACGGACCTCCTGGAGTGGAATCTTTGTTCTATTGATTAAATGCTTAGACAAGTTACTTATTTCTCTGTTCCTCAGTTTCTCACCAACTTCACAGGATCTTTGCAGGACTAAACGAGTGAACAGGCTAAAGTCCTGAAAACAGCACCCGACACTTCATCCGTATTTATTTTTTTTAAAAAACAAAACAAAAAAAAATTCGTAAGGCTAGGTGGGATTACTATCCCTGTTCGGAGGGAAGGGGGCTAAGTGACTGGGTCCGGGTCATCCTGCGAGCTAGCTGTGAGGCAGATCAACCGGACAAGACCCCAGCGCGGTTGTCTCCCCGCCGACACAGCTGCTCGGAGAAGGCGGCGGGAGGCAGGCGCTGGAACACATCGCTCCTGGATCTGGCTGGACCAGAAACCCCAACTGTTTCCTACTGACCACTTTTAAACATAAAAGTTAAAATTTTAAAGTGCTTTTCTTAAAAATCCTCACCCGAGGATACTTTTCCACTTATTTTCAGATAGAGTGGGAGGGAGAGAGAGAGAAACATCAATGTGAGAGACACATCAACTGGTTGCCTCCCGCACAACCCCGACTAGAGCCAGGGACAAAACCGAGGTATGTGCCCTTGACCAGAATCGAACCCATGACTCGTTGGTCCTCAGGGTGATGCTCTAACTGCTGAGCCAAACCATCCAGGGTTTAAAGTGCTTTTAATGTCATTCCTGTGCCTTACTTCAAAGTTTGATGCACGCTTATTTTTCTATCTACATCCCCAAAACAAGGAAAGTACTAATGAAGCCCATCATTTAAAAAAAAAATTCTCAACACAACCCCTTGGATTCAAATACTGAGTCCCTACTGTGCCCAGGCTCAGTGCTAAGCACTGACATTATTTCATTTAATAATCCTCACAAGAATCCTCTCATTTCCTTTGACAGATGAATAAATGAAAGCTAGAATGTTCAAATAACTTCGCAAACAGGCATCACTCGTAGATAGCAGCGTGAGTTCCAAGGATCTCGGCGGGACTCTCAAATACGCTCCTACACCCTTCCCCGCTGAATGGAAGAACCAAGCCAACCATACGGGAACTCTTTATATTCCTCACAAACCGAAACTCATAAAACAGGGTCGCAGAGATTATAAAACCACATTAGCCTCTATGAGCAAATGACATGTGAATAGTCCTCAGAGACATTAAAGGCTGGGGCCCATGAAAAATAACAAAATTTAAGTGATCAATTGTGTTGGGTAGACAAAGAATAATTATTATTACCATATAATATGACTTCTATATTTTACAACCTTGTAGACTGTTTCTGACCTTCAGAGACATTAATGGGTGCTAATCTTGTCCCCTTTATTTAGCAGACCTTGAGCACGGTGCAGAAGCACCCGGACCCAGCGAGGTCCGTGCGGGGCCAGCCCAGTGCAGGTGCTCATCTAATGGCTCATCTAAGTGCTCTCTGGCTCAGAGACGGCTCAGGGGGCCCTGGAAAAATGTCCACTGAGGAGCATCATGAGAGGAGCGAGCTCTGATCTCAGACCTCTAATAGGATTCACACCGTTTCTACAATTGCCTAGTTTCTGAAGTCAGCCCTGAAACGAGCTATTATTCTCTGGTTCACTCTTCTTCAGATTATCCAAAATAATTCAATGTCCACCTTTTCCTTTGGGAAAATCAAAGGTTGACATGGCTCTCTTTTGAACTCGAGCTGTTAAAGAACCCTTTCTTCCCTTCAAAAAGTTTCACTGATTTTGAAAGGTCTTATTGATAAAACACAGAGAAACTCAGGGGAAAAGGACAAAGAGAAAAAGAAGAAAGAGAAAGAAGAAAGAAGCCAGAAAAGAAAGAGAAGAAAGTGAGCCCGAGAGGAGAGGCAGAGGCAGAAGGCTCCTGAACGCGTAATTGCCGACAGCTTAGAAACGGGTTCATGTAACCATCATGGAGCATTATTTCTAAAAACCGAGGGGAAAATATTTACACAAAATCCAAAGAATATTGCTCTTTGTTAAATGCTGGAAAATGACAATGTATTCAACGCGTTAACTCATGAATTATTCTGCGCGATGTTTACTACTGGCATCGTTAGCACTTCTGAGCTGAATGTTTAAGAGAGTAAGGGAGAAATTCAGGAACTGAAGATAGAAATGAAGATTAATTTTTGTTTTGTTTTTGCTACTGTGTGTCTGTTTTGGTGGTATCTGCACAGTGTTAGTGAGATTGGGGTTTGGGGTGAGTGACATGAGTGACAAGTAACCGCCCGAACCCCTGGAATTGAACCCTCTGCCTGCCAGGTGTGCGAGGACTCACATGACCTTCAGCAGTTTTCTAACCTGTGCTCATCAATGACAGTTTCAAAACAGGTACATTACAATAAACACACTATGAGTAAATTAGGCCTTCGCTATGTTTAGCAAGTTTTATTTCCTAATTAAAAGCAGAATCACAACAATAGACTTGACTTACCTGCAGAATTAACTCGGCCACAGGTGTCCACTCGTCCTAAGCATTCTTTGTGTGCTCTAGCGCCACACTTAAAACATAAATAGCCTTGATAGAATGTTCCTCTGAAAGACAGAGAGAGGGAAAGAGGGAGAGAGAGAGGGAGGGAGAGAGAGAGAGAGGGAGGGAGAGAGGGGTTAAGAGGTGCTGCACTCGGCCTTTAGGAATCCTCAGTGTGAAAAGGAAACCGAGGGACCAGCACTAAGTGTGAAGTGCTCTCAGCACAGGAGGGCCCGGGGCCTCAGGCCCGTCCAGGCTCGAGGCCGAGGAAAGCTACGTGGGGTCCACGTGTTCGGAAGCCCGAAATGCTGGCAGCGCATCAGCTCCCTCCCACCGGACACGGCCCCCCCAGCCCACGGCCCCCCGGCTCACCGGAGAAGCATCTGGCAGGCCCTGCAGGAGGTGACCCGGCTGAAGGTGTGCATCCGGAACTCGTGGGAATTGGAGTCGGCATGGTCGGGCCTTATGTTAGATCTAGAAAGTGGGGGAGGAGGAACTTACTAAATAAAGTTGCACAACAAAGGAACAGTCCTGTCACTGAAGACGAATTCATCAACATTCCATGGGGTGGAGATCAGATTCAAGCAAAAAGGCTAATCAACACACAATGTTTCTTGAAAGCCAAAAGTGTAGTTTGCCTTAAAATATGCACCGAAATCTCATTGTGTCAGAGCCAGCAACCCAGCATTGTGAGGATCTGAGCAACCTGATCCTCCTCAGAATCGAGTGTTCCCGGAGAACCTGGCAGAACAGCCGGCTGGGTCCACCTGCCAGGAGGCCAGGAAGCCGGCCGGCCAGGCCGTTCTCCACAGCCACAGGCTGAGCGGCAGACCGCTGGACGGGGGAGGGCGGGGAAGGGGGTGCTGCTTTCCACAGCGTCCACCTCTCAACAGAAATGGGGATGCTGCTATGAACTAAAAAGGGAATAAAATTATGTCATGAGAAGCTTTGAAACAAGGCACCAGTCTGATTAGAAACTTCCTCCTCGACAAACAATTCGCTTTCCTGGCAATCCAAATAACTACTAAACAAAATTATGTCATCATTATGTTTTATATTTTATTTCCATTATACACACGTACAAAAGTATATTCGGCATTCTGCCAGCTGACACTCGGAGCACCTTCTCTGTGCAGACCCGCGAGGCCCGACATTGTTCACCGCCGTGTAACCCCCACGCCGCCCTCGCTGTGCGGCGGTGTGAAGCCACCGGTGTAGGCACTGGGCGCGGAGGCTCACACGCACGTGAAGAAAATGACAGCGCCAAGAACTCCAACCCAGATCTGTGCTTTCCACCACTGAAGCTATAGGACAGGATAACATTCTCCTTAATATCATTCGTTTTTTGTGCCTAGTGGGTATGTTGAAACACCTAAGTTTAGCCATTTCTAGAGGATTTTTTACGTATCCATGTCACGAAAGAAAGCAGAAAAACTGGAAAAGGATAAGTTAAAAATGGATGCTAATCAGAGGTACACCTCGAAAGCAACAATGATGCTCTCTAAGACATCACAAGCAGTTTGAGGGACCGCAGGGAAAGTCTGCGATACCGATGGGCTCATCCCCCCACACAGCGGCAGCTCTCGGCCTAAAGAAGCAGGGCCGGGCGGACAGCCAGGCGTCGGTCTCCCAGGGGCCAGGAGAAGCCTTATGAAAGGACACTCGCCAGGGCCACTGGAGTGGCAGGCAGTGAGGCAGAGTGTCAGAGGTCAGCCTCCCAACCCGCGTGCTGAATGTGAGCGTCTGAAAATGAAATCACACCTCAGGGCCATCTGAGATTCCTCTGCTCCTGTTTCCAGTGACCTCCCTGTTCAGGAAACAGTTCTCATGCTGAAAAGCAGAGCCACCCTGCAGAGGCCCTTCTGTGTTGCTGATTCAAAGCTCGAGCGTCCTCCTTCATGAAGGGAGGCGTAGAGAGAGGAACCCGGAAACAACTCTCTCCTCACTGTGCTCAGAAACATTCGACTCTGGGTCCATTGCGCGGGGCATTGACAAGGGCAGCTGACCGTGTTCCTTAGCCAGGAAGGGCTGCTGGTTTTCTTGTGTGCATCAAGGTAACACGGTCATAGGCGGATTGTCAAAGAACAGCTTCGGTCCTGGGAACCGGAAAAATTCATCAGCCTGGAGTTTCAGACGCTCAGTAGGTCTCCTTCAGGCAGAAACTCACATCCATGGGTCCCACACAGGGAAGAAATGAATTGATTTTAGAAACTTGGGACACCGGTAGAACACCTTTTACTTAGAGTCAACTCAGGTAGAACTTGGACCATTTGTACTAAACACTTCTGCCAACTAAGTAGAACTACGCTGACTTTTCAGAAGACAAAATGCGGAGAGGAGAATCACGGTACAAGGTTAAAAAGGAAAGTCTTCTAATAAAGAAAATAATTCTGAAAATACTGCTAATGGTGGTTGTCATAAGGGAAATGGGTAGAACTGTAAGGAGGAACTGTTGAAATGCTTTAAGACTATAACCACGTATCATTTTTAAATTTAAAATCAAACACTGCAGAATGAAAGTTAACTGTGTGGGTAGAGCAGCAGCTGGAGGGCAGGAGTCGGACACCCCACCTAGGCTTCAGTCCTAACTCCCAAACCCCTGGCCGAGGCAAGTGGGAGCCAGGAATACTAATCAAATCAGACTCATAGAGTTAGGTAACATATGTAAACTGCTTAGGACTTTGCCTGGCCCAGAGCTGGTGCACCAGCTGGGTTAGGACCACCTGTCACTTGTGAATTGCTGCTTCCAAATCCACATATTAATGATGTCATCAAGCTAGTCCCTTGGAAGTCTGGGGGCTGAGTCCCCAGAGGATTCTCAGCAGGAAGGTTGTTCTATGCTCACTTTCCTTGCCACTGAAGCCACATATGATTACCTAAGCACAGTGAGAAATGGGTTACTTAGGAGAGGGCACGTATGAAAAAGTCTGGGAATTACATGAAGTCATATCAAGTGCCAACTGAAGAGAGATGTGAACGGGCGTGGTCTACAGCCTGTTGGGATGTACAAACCAAAGACAGTCAGCTGGCTGTATGGGAACAGTTGGAAAGGTAGACGGGAACAGAAGAGGACAGAGAAACATCCGTTATAGACAGACCAAAACGAAGACAAAAGGAATCACAAGTGGCATCTACTGCATGGCTCTTCCTATGCTTTGTCACATTTGCTTGTAACAAACCTAAAGGCAGAGTCATTCATTCATTTCATACTTATTAAAAGCCCTCCATACACACAGGACATAAGGCAGGAACCAGAGCCCAGTGAAGAAGAGGGGAGATACAGAGATGGGGAGAGGCTGTTGGGGCCAAGGAAACAGGTGAGATCTTCCACAGGGACTGACATCACATTCAGTCAATCCTCCTCCCCAAAAAACCCTTTGTGGCTACTAAGTAGAGAATTCTTTATGGTGAAGCAAGAATGGATCTAGCAAGGCCAATTGTGGGGCGGGTTTTCTACAGATCAGAACTGAGCATCACATGTAGGTCAGCTCCCTTCCTTGGACGTGCAGCTGCACTTAGGAGAACTTGGAAGGACTTTTGTGGATTTCTCAGTAAAATTATCCCATTTCTTTTGCTTCATCTAGGGCCCATTTATTAATACAATTAATCGGTCAATCACATATTTATAAGGCAAGGTATGTTGACGCTCTTAGGGATTCTGATAACTTCACATGTCTTCTCAGATGATCTGTTCTTCTCACCTGGCTCCATGGTCAGCTAAACTGACCACATCCCTCTCCCTAGCCTGGGCATCTTCTCCATTCTCTAGATCTGTCTTGCCAACTGCATACAAACCTCAACTCCACACCTCTCCTAACATATCAGATGCTAATCAAATTCTGATTTCAACCCATCACCATTCACTCCATCTTCCAACCTAGAAACTCAAGAGAATTGCAATGCATGCTTCCCTTGCCCTCAAATCCTCTACATATTCATTTTCTCTGACCTCCTCTTCTGCTCCAGTTTCTCTTTCCCTGAAACTATGACCAATTTCTGCTTATTCAACCTTGAAAATACCTCCTCAAAAATGCAGGTCCAGCCCTGGCCAGTTTGGCTCAGCGGTTAGAGCGTTGGCCTGCAGACCAGAGAGACCCGGGTTTGGTTCCCGCTAAGGGCACGTTTGCAGTTTGTCCCCGGCCCTGGTTGGGTCATGTGGGTGGCAACCACTCCATGTGTCCCTTTCACATTGATGTTTCTCTCTGTGTCTCTTCCTCTCTCACCCTCCCACTCTATCTGAACAAAAAAACAAAAAAATGTCCTCAGGTGAGGATTAAAAAAAAAAAAATGCAGGTCCATTGTCTCTTCTCACTACCTAATCCAAGCCCTCAATCTCTCTCAACTAAATTGTTACAATTATCTCCTTAATCATCCCATCTTCTGCTCCTTATTTACAGCCATCTTCTATACTATTCCCAGAATTACCTTCAAAAAATACAAATATGACTATGTCACTCCGTCCCGTGAAGACTGGCTGGTTCCCACGGGCTCTGGGGTGAAGCTCCTCCGGCAGAGACACGCGAGAGGTTTACACTCCAGCTGCTGCGTGCTCCCGCGTGCCTCCCCTCCCCAGGCTCTCACAGGCCACACACCAGACACACAGACCTCCCACATTTCCCCAAAGTATTCTTCCTTCCCATAATGCTGTGCTTTTGTAGTCCATTTACGCTGCCTAAAACGTTTCCCTTAACCTGCAACTGCGAGTTTACCTGGTCCTCCTCTAGTGCCGGCTGGGCAGGCAGGCATCTCCGCCATCACCGCCAGCCGCCACGGTCGGGCTCCCAGAAGGAAGGGAGTGCTCACCGTACAGCACACGCTTTAAAAAAACCCAGGCAGGCTGGCACAATGAAATTCAGCACACTTGGCACACCAAATAGCCTTATCACTTAGCATCACAAGGAACACTTCAAAATCCAAGTCTCCAGACAGCAAATGCAAGCCTTCCAAGTTAACTCTTGTCTGTACCAAATGTCTAAAAAAAATCCTAGCATGAACTGTGCAGGTTCTGTATGAAAAAAATTCAGAAAGTGAAAAGTATTCAATCAAATAAAAGCTAACTAACCAAATTCTGAAATAAGAGGCTTGCATCTTTTATTATAAATACACGATCTCTTCTCAAACTAATTTATAAATTTAAAGCAATTCTTTATTCCCAAACCAACACACACAATTATATTCTGAGATATAACTGATTAACTGTTAAACATTGTTACAAATTCAGTGCTCAACTTCCTTACAACCAAAGCAAAGAGAACAGGATCGTTTCTAGGGTAGCTGTATAAATTTTCCTAGCACCAAAGTGTAAGAAAAATTGCTCTGCTGGGTTTTCATAAAAGGGACATGGTATGTGATATATAGACAATGCCTTCAACAATATCCTTATCAATACAATAGTGTACCTGCCCCTTCTAGCCCTTCGTGACATGAGCCATGGACATAACGCAGCAGCACTACCCAGTAAAAGCAATTCTATG